TTCTTCTTCTTCTTCTTCTTCTTCTTCTTCTTCTTCTTCTTCTTCTTCTTCTTCTTCTTCTTCTTCTCCTTCTCTTTCTCCTCCTCCCCCTCCCCTTCTTCTTCTCTTTTTCTTCCTTCTTCTTCTTGTTCTTTTTCTCTTTCTTCTTTTTTTTAGTGTGCCTTGGTGTTTTCCCTGCATGTATATCTGTATGAGGGTGTTGGATACCCTGGAATTAGAGTTACAGACTGTTTTAAATGCCGTGTGCATGCTGGGAATTAAACCTGTGTCTTCTGGAATAACAACCAGTGCTCTTAACCTCTGTGCCATTTCTCTGGCTCAGGAAGAATTGTTTTTAATTCATTGTTACGTTCTGTCTCCACTGGACAAGTTTGTGTAGGAAGCCTCACTCCTAAGGCTCGGCTCACCTATGTTTTTGTTTGCTAGGCAATAAAAGTTTAATATATGGTAATTCTCTTTGGAAAAATCCCAGTTCCACAAACATGTTAGCTCTCATAGCCATGTGTTTAATACAGTGAACATGAGAACAAGGCACTCACTGCACATATTGGCCAAAACTGTAGCAAAGGTCTAAGAGACAAACTGGTTTTAGACAGAACCATCTTGTCCAGTTTAGGCAAAGGCTGACTGGGTCTCCAGGGGACAAATGCAACTTAGAGGAAAAGGAGTTATGGCAAGTCCAGACTGAAGCACTGAGGTGTGACGTACATGTAGCATCCTGGGCATTTGGCTATGGGAATGGTGTGTATGCATTGGAGAGCAAGTTTATCCTCACCCAAAACTGAAGCACATGAGGCAAGCACAGACTTAAGAGACAGGTGTTCCTGAGTCTAGAGAGATGGCGTAGTCAGTAAAGTTCTTGTCCTGCTTGACAAATGCCTGATTTGGATCCCCAGAGTCCACACTAAAATAAAAAGCTGGTCATTGTAGCATGCTTGTAATCCCTGTGCTGAGGAAGCTGACATAATTGGATCCCTTGGGCTCTCTGGTCAGTCAGCCTAGCCTACTTGGCTAGTTTTAGGCCTGTCAGAGACCCTATCTCAGAATGAAAACAAAATAAAGCCATGTTAATATCTGAGAATCAGTATTACAAATTGTTCTCTGGCCTCTATATGCACTCTCGCACATACACCACAAACACACACACACACATGACTGTTACAGGAGGGCAAAGAATGAGACCTCCAAGGCAGGCAGGAGCCACCCAGATTGATGCTTGTGATGCTGGGTGGCACCAACGTAGCCACATGTGCCTTTCATGAGTGTGGAAGGCTACGTGAGTGTGCCTGACCAGTGAAGTATTGCCAAGTGGATATTTCTTGTACATTCACTTAGGGATTTGCTAAGGGGACAGGAAACAGGCTTAGCAAAACAGGGGTTGTAGCTCAGGGGTGGAGCGAAGGGGAGCCTGTGGAATCGATGTCCTGGTTCCAGATGCCACAAACAACAAAGCCAGCAGCCCAAAACCCAGCTTGAAACTGGGGTTCTAACCCCTGCATCAGGTTATCTGAGTGTAGTCCAGTTGCATGTGTCTTGAGACGAGTTTCTCCTTTCACAAGGATCTTCACACAGTGCTTAGCAGGCTCGCACTGCTGTAGAAGTTAAGGAACCATTCTGTTCCTACTGCTCTTCAGGAAGTGACAGGCACCTGGGAAACCCACAGAGTATGGTTTTGTAAGACATTGCTCAGTGTCCCAAGGAAAGAGCACCTGACCTCTCGCTGGTCTTTGACGTACCGATGAGGGAAATGACGACACAGGGCCTAGCAAGTGAGGCTTTCTGTTTTGTTCCTAAAGACCACGGTTGCGTAAATCCATTCTCCGTGTTCACCATTCCCTACTAGCCATGTTACTGTCATGGGAGGAAGTGGAGTCTGGGGATCTTAGTAAGGCTTGGAGGACCATTAGAACACACCTGGTGTGTAAACAGAAGTGTGTTAGTGGAAAGGGTATAGCATCCTGGGCATTTGGCTATGGGGATGGTGTGTATGCAATGAAGCACAAATTTCTCAGTTGCAGGCTATGTGCACACGATGTGAAGATGTGTTGCTGCGATTGGTGTAATAAAGAGCCGAATGAGCAATAGCTAGGCAAGAGAAGATAGACGGGATTTCCAGCGAGAGAAAGAAAGGGAGAAGGAATCTAGATGTTCTAGTAAGACCCTGAAGAAATAGGACATACGGTACGGAGCAGAGCTAACTGAGTCACGTGGGAGAATGTAGATAAATAGATGGAGGCTAATTAAGTTGTAAGAGCTAGTTGGGGACAAGCCTAAGCTAAAGGCCAAGCTTTCCTAATAAGTCTCCAGGTCATTATTTGTGGGCTTGTGTACCTGATGGAAAAGGACCACTGCATTTATCTTTACAGAAAACTGTTGCCTGGGATCTTTGGGTTCCCATCCTCTTACACTGCCTGGAAAAGTACCAGTGCTTTTAACAGCTAAAAACAAAATTTAATATTTTAGTGCTTTTCGTCTGGAAGATTTAAAAAAAATAATAAGTCCTTGTTTTACTAGCTCTGATTTGTCAGCCAATTATTTGATTTTCAGTTAAAAAAATGGCCAGGAATATCATCACATATTTAACATTGGTGGGAAGCAGGAAACATATTGCAGTGTGCGCATAAGGTAATGAAAGCTGGTTCTGTGGGGCCCACCTGTAATCCCAGCACTCAGCAGGCAGGGGCAGGAGGATTATCATGAATGTGAGGTCTCCCTGTGTTACACAGTGAGTTCTAAGCCAGCCAAGACTACACAGCAAGATGATGTCTCAAAAGCAAGCAAGCAAACAAACAAGAAGTCCTTAAATCTCTCCACGAACAATCAAGCTGTGGAAACCGACTGTTCTTGGAACAGCAGTGAACTCGTGGAAGAACCCTGAGGAGAAGATTCTTTTCAGCAGGAACTATTAGTGCATGGGTGAACCAAGCAGTTGATTCATCTAGGGGATTCCCAACAGAAATACCGATTCTTTTTCTTGAGGACTCACAAGCCTGACTGACCTTTGTCATCTTGAAACAACCAACCAGGGAACAAATTAAAATAAGGCAGAGACTTTTCTAACTCACAGTGTGCCTCTAAAAGAAGTTTTGAGGAAAAGAAAAGTCCTTTAAGGGAGGAATAACTGATACTAGGGAGCCACTCAGATCTAACTAAGGAGCCACTTCCAGGTTCCTTGGCTGAACTTTCTATTTTGGGGGCTGGGGGGGTAGCTAATAGGGTTTTTCTATGGAACTTACTATGTAGACCAGGCTGACTTTGAACTCACAGGAATCTGCCTGCCTCTGCCTCCCTAGCACTGGGATTAAAGGTGTGCACCACCTGTGGGCAGAGTGGACTTTAGATCATGGAAAACTAGAAATGTTCTCTCAAAGCTTTGAAGCTTGAGTTTTGGGAGAACCGTGGGCTTTAGGCACATGACAAAAGCTTCCTGTGGCTGCTTGTGCTGTTTCCTTGTTACTATGACAAATGTGGGGATGAGTGATAACGAAAGAAGATTGACTTTGTTTCATGGGTTTGGAGGTTTCAGGCCTTGAGCAATTGAAGCAAGGTGGTGTTACACCCGCAATCCCATCCTTCAGTAGCGAATGGCAAAAGGACCAATTCAGAGTCATCCCTGGCTACAAAGCAAGTTTGGTAAACACATACACACACACACACACACACACACACACACATACACACACACAATCAAACAGTGTCTCTGCATGCTTTTTTGAGTGCTAACCTGATTAGGCCAAATTCCCCCAAGAAAACCTCATTCTTACTTCATTTTTCATTCAGCTGACTAGAGACCTGATCTACACTGGTAAAATCCTTTATTGAGATGCACTAGGATGTCCTCATGAGGTCGTGTCCCATCAAGTTCACATGCTCGGCTCACACTCGAGGAGAGGTTGAACATGGGGTCCACATATCCCAAAGCTCTTGCTTTGGGAGCCTGTTCAGAATTTGACCTCCCGTGGCTGATTGCTCAGAGGCAGAATGAAGTGAAGTGGGGTAACGTGGGTGTGCCGTACACTCAGGGAAACCACCTTTCCATACAGGCAATGTCTCTGGGCAGTTTCAGTCCCTACAGGTTTCACTTCTCTCTCCTAGGGCCGTGGGAGCTGAGTGCTGGGCAGCAGCAGCAAGGGGGCTTTTGCAAAATCAGCTCCTGGCCTGAGCTTTTCTCCTCGGTTCCCCTTACTAACATCCAAGACAGATTCTTTGTTCTTCAAAAAGATTTAAAGTACCGAGATAATAAATACCTTTCTGCTTAGTCTGATATCATAAAATCTTCATTAGTACTACAGAACCATCAATGCAAACGTTTAGCTCCAATAGATGCGTGAAACCCTGCATTGCTTTCTTTTTGAGACAGTGTCTTGAAAATAGTCTGGGCTGGCCTAAGATTTATTATGTCACTTTGAACATCCAGCACTCCTCCTGACTCAGGTTTCTAAGCACTGGAGGTTACAGTTTTGTGCCACCCACATTTGGCTCTGCATCACTTTTTAGATTGTATTTACTTTTAAGAGTGTTGGTGGGGGCGATGCAGCAAGGGAGTACCATGATACATGAGTGGAGGATGAGCAAAGGATAACTCTTGGGAGCTGGTGCTCTCCTTCCATCATGTCCTTGGAGGTCAGGTCATCTCCGCAAACCAAACAGAGGGTGGCTGGCTTGAGAAATCTTGGCTATTAGAACATGGAGCTCGTTCCTAACTCCACACATCCACCTGCACAGGAAACTTCAGGAGAAACACAAGCAGAAAGCTTTGGTATGAGCTGCTCGACCCATCCATCCATGCTATAGCCACAAGGTCTGTTGTGTCACTCTGGCAAACCTCAGCTTCTGCTGAGTGTGTTGTCCTGTCACACTACTTGGCTGGACAGACTGCCCAGAAAGCGGGCATCCAGCGGGTGTCTCTTTCCCACCCTGATATTCACAAAAGAATACCTGCTAGAAATCAAGATTAGAAACTTCCAGACTGCAGGGTCAAGGGGCTCCTGAAAGCACAGGCAAGAGAGCAGCAGCAGCATGGCGAATTCCCGTGCAGGTATTCTGGGCCTAGAGCATGACAGACAATGAATTGCCCTAGAATCAGCCCCAAATTAAATTTAAAGAAGTGAGCTCAAAGTCAGGCTAGATCTTGTACAGTAGACACTTGGTTTCTGAACCAGACCGCTGTAAGCAGACATGCCCCGTGCTTTCTGCAATCCAGATTCTGAGGTGTAGCTTGCACACACCTGACTCAGGGAAGGGAGGTCCAGGAGGTGCATATTTGTAGCATGAAAGCAGCGAGTCATTAGTGTTGCTACAGTCTGCTGGCTGGTTGGACACACCTAGGTGTTTCCCAAGGCCACTTGACTGACAGAGAGGCCTGTGGATGGGACTCCTGGCTCTTCTTGATGCTCTTGGGAATTAGTCCAGTTTGATAAAGGACCTAGGCAGCACTGAATTTTTATTGTTAGGACATTTTCTCCCTTTGAGGGAGGTGGCTGTGTAAGTTAGATTCCCTGAGTTCTCCCTGGCAGCTTATCTGTCCCTGTTTCCCCCATCTTTTCCTTGCCTGCTTTTTCCTTTCCCCCTTCTCTTCTCTTTCTGGACCAGATGGGTAAGACAATCCTCTAGCCTTGGCTTTGGTCTTCAGTCTTTTGATGTGCTGGGTTTACACTGTGAGCCACCACACCCAGAGCTCTACAAAGACTCGTTAAAACCAAAACCAAAACACGGAAACCTTACAACATGGTCCCATGGCAGACACGCAGGCCCTAAAAAAAGAAGTGAAATGGTAAGTAGCGTAGCCATTACCTTTGGTTATAAAGGAACTAAACCCACAGCTCAGTTGCTGCAATTCTGAGAGAAGTTTCCATGTGCTGTGCAGATTCCAGGCGTGTGTTCCTCTGAGCTCCTTCCCAGGAACAGGATAGTGGTAGCACACTCCCTGCCAACAGTTGCTGTAGAGTTTACCTGTCTTCTGCTTGAGGAACTGGGAGCTGGAAACACAGGGGTTTAGATAATAGTGAAAGCATTCTTTTTTTCTTTGTTCTTTCTTTTCTCCTTTCCTTTCTTTCTTTCTTTCTTTCTTTCTTTCTTTCTTTCTTTCTTTCTTCCTTTCCTTCTGTCTTTCTTTCTTTCCTTTCTTTTTTTTGGCAAGGTCTTATTCCCAGGTCTTACCCCTATTTAGCTATCCTTCTACATCAGGCCTCGAGTCCTGGGATTATAGGCGTGTGCCACCACACAAGGGAACTCAACGCACAGCAGCCTCACAGCATTTTTACCTGCCTCTAGCTAATAAATGAATTCTTGGGCCTTTCACTAGCTGAGCTCCACCGAGAGGCTTTCAAACTAAAACCACTAGGCTGTTTAACGTGGGTTGTGAGCTGGGGGATAGTTTAATAGTAGAACACAAGCTTGGTGTTCATGGAACCCTGACTTAGACAAGTAGCACAGCAAAAGAAAAAGGGAAAGAAAGAAAGAAGGAAGAGAAAGAGAGAGAGAGAGAGAGAGAGAGAGAGAGAGAGAGAGAGGCTAGCAATAATCATTAATTGGAAGAAAAACAAAACAAAACACTACTTGAGTGTAGTAGCTGTGTGCCTCTATTGCTTCCAGCTCCTCAGGAGACAGAGGCACTGGGATTGCTTAGTTCAGGGTTCCAGGACAGCCTGGAAGACACAGTGAGGGCCATCTCAGTGAAGAAACAAAGAGCAGAACGAGCAAAGCCAGTACAGTAGGAACGGGGCACATTGCTGTGCACTGTTTGGATGGACTAATTTAGTGGGTAAGCATCTTCAAGTATCAGAGCATCCTTAGAGAAGAGGTAAGATCGGGTTGTATATAGTTCCCTGATGTCGATTTTCTCAAGTGGACTCAAGTTGCATCTGTCCTGCAACCTAAGAAAAGTCACGGGTATTTGAAGCAGAACTAAGGGGGAATGTCTAGATATACCGCACGAACGTTTCTATCCTAGCACTGAGCTGACAGGTAGATTAGGAAGCTCGGGAACCCAGAAGGCGCCACTGTTGGCTATTTGCGTCGTTGCTTCTTGTTTTTCAAAGCTTTCGTATATGGTGGACACCTACTCTCCATTTCTGTTGACTGGGCTTGAGTAGCCTTCCATTAGGAAAGAAATACAATACATTCAGCATACTATAAAAATGGATTCCAGTCGTGATTGCAGGTGTGTGGAAGTGTGAGCAGAACAGAGGACTTTTCTGTTCTTTCTTTCTTTAAAGTCCCAAGTTCATTTCATTGTACTGAAACCTTTGACTTCCTGTAGAGTCTTTGCTTTATAATGGTCTGATGGGGAAAGACACATGTTTGGGGTTTCCTGGTGAAAAGTCAGTACTGCGCACCCTAGCCTCCAGTTCACACTCTGGGAAGGAAAAGGGGAGAGCAGAAGGTCTGGATCAGATCTCCCGAATCTTTCTTGCCCTTTCTCTTCCTAGCTCTCCCCACTCCCCCTCCTCGTATCCCTCAGTTTATGCTGTAATTCACAATGTCTGTTTTCTGATCGGAGCCAACAATGACTGACTGCTAAGGATTTCAAAATGAGTCCATAAACAATTTTATCGGGCCCAGAAATGGACAGGATTCTGATAAGTGACAGGGTAAAGCTGGCACGCCCATTTCAAAGGTGTGGGCAATCGGCCAGGAAAGCTGCACCCAGGGACGTCGTGGAAGCCCAGGGGGTGGGAGGAAGCCTGGGTAGGCGCTGCACTTTGGACCCCATCCTACTGTCGTAACAGGTGAGGTCCCAATAGCAAATATTTGCTTGAACTCCTCTTGTAAACACGGTTGCCCTCAGTAGGATGTGCTGTATAAAAATCATGGCAGTTTTTTTTATAGACATTATCAAAATATTTGTGAACCCTATTTGTTCTTTTTCAAGGATGACTAGTTTGATTGGCATTGGGGTGGGGGAACTAGCTTTGGCAAAGGTCAGGATTGCAGGGGTCAGGAAGTCAAAAGCAGTCCCAGGATGCATGGGTCCCAGGTCTCTGCAGGCTTAGGCTGGAGCCTAGTAAGAGAGCCTTGTAAACCTCAGGGAGTCCCAGTTGGAAAGGCATGGTCTAAGAGCGAGCCTTCTTTGTTTGTTATGTAGTTTTTCTTTGATAGTTTGGGTTTTGCTTTGTTGTTTTTTTTTTGAGGCAGGATTTTGCCTGACTTCAGGCTCACAATCCTCCCGCTTACCCACTCTCCTTAGTGCCTGGATTACCGGCTTACTTTTAACATTCTAATTTTTCTACCCTCCTTGCTGCATTTGATAGTATTTTTTTAAAAGCTCATGTCATAAGTTTTTAAGGTTTAGGTTGTCCCTCTGTCTTCCTCGTTACCTACCTTCCTTCCTTCCTCTCATCTGTCCCTCCTTTCTCCCTACCCTTTTAGTACTTCCCCTGCTTCAGCCTCCCAACTAATAGGATAATCGGTGCCACCACATCCAGCTCTCTTTTAATTTTTTTAAATTAAAAATTAGAAATGTGCACATTAATGGAGCACCATGCAGTAGTCAGCAATGAAAACCCTGTATAAAGTTTAAATCACAACACACACAGCTCCTCAAATACCTATCATTTCTTTTTTTAACCAAAAAGGTTTTACATACTTTCTTCTAGCCTTTGAAGGAGATATCTGTTATTATCGCCAGTCATCAACACTGCGAACGACACTTGGAGTGTCTCGCTCTCATCTGCTTGTGGCTTTGGACACATTAATCTCCTCTCCTCCCATCTCTTTTCTTTCCCTCAGTCTCCCTAAACTCAAGTCAGCTGGACTCTCGACTTCGCTGAGATCAACTCTTTTAGATTTCCAGAATGAGTGAAATCATGTCAGACCTCTCTGTGCATGGTTTGTTTTACTTAACATAGTGAAAGGCGATGCCCAAATGGCGCACATAGAAAGGAAAGAATCGCGCTAACGCGAAGTGGATCTAGTGACAGAAACAGCCACCTCAAAGATGTCCATACCTGTGATCAGGGCCCTTCTGGATGTGGATCTAGAGGAGCGTTTGCAAGAGCAGATGCACAGCAAGAAAAAGCTGAAAGCGGACAGAACATTTCACAAATAAAATCGAGCAAGAGTGAATGCACAGAACTGAATCACAAGCACACAGGATCTGGTGGGAGACAAAGGCTGACAGGCAGCACGGAGGAACAGTCCATTTGAAAGGATGGCCCCATCCTGACACTCTAGTGATGCGGCCTAATTTAATACTACTTGAGGGTGTAAGCACTAGAATAGTATTTTTCTCATCGCTGTGTATCACTTAGTTCTTTTATTGAAAAAAAGACACTTTTTAACCTGTTGAAACACCATAAACGTGGTTCAGCAGTTAAGAACACGCACTGCTTTTTCAGCAAACTCAGGTTTGGGTCCTCGCCCATACATCAGTCAGCTCACAACTGCCTGCAGCTCCAGTTCAGGAGTGTGGGGACTTCACCTCCAGCTTCCATGGACGTTTATGAGCGCATAGCCCCTTCTAATTAAAAAGTAAAAGTAAAAACAGATCTTAAAATATTTTTTTCCTCAAAATTTTAGAGCAACATTGAGAATAGACACAAACTGCTCATTAAGAACTCCCGAGAGCCGATTGAAATCGTGGCCTCCAGATCTTTCATTTTCTCTCCTCCAGCATCCAGTTCTTCCTCAGCCAGTTAACTGTGTTAGTAGAAGAGCCCAGTATGGAAGGAGGCAGTGTTGCGTTTGTGGATGTGTATAAAAGCCTGGAGTCCAAAGTACAACAGCCAGGAGCTCATTTCTACGGCTTGGTTGCCCTCAGAAATGGTTGCCAGGCTCCATTTCCCAGAAAAATCACAGGGGTATTGGTGTTTATTAGCCAAAATACAAGTGCTGATTGCCAAGGGAAGAGACTAGACAGACCGCCCCAGGGCCTCTGCTGGAGTCTGGGGGTCGAACAGTGCAGACACACCTCTTGCAGAAACTCTTCCTGCCATTAATGAAATTTGATGTGTTTTCTTTAATTATGTGCCTCCCAAGCATCTTGTATATTTTCCATTCAGCACTTACAATATTGTGATAATTACCTGCGTAAGGACAGTCTCCACAGCTGGTTGGACAATGCATGATCCAAACAAACCACCCTGTTGAGCAGCCAGCTTTGACTGCCTTAGGGTAGAGAAGATGCCCAGTTAACCTCTTTTTATTTTAATTGATTCTCACAACTTTCAATTTCTCCAAGATAAAATACATTTATATAAAACAAGCAAACATATAGAGCATTGTGTGCAGGGTCCTAAATTCTTAAGATAAAAAACAAACTTGAACTCTGTGCAGTGAGTTTACACAAGAGATAAGGCTTTAAGACTCTCTTTCCGGATAGTCTTTGAGGCTAGTTAGAGGTAACTGAGTGTCAAGAAAAGGAAATGGCATGAGAGCTCATTATTGGCTATACATCCTCCCCAGAGACTAGCTGTGTATGACACTGCTGTAGAGTAAATCAGGCAATCCATTTTGCACTATTTAAACACAGTCCTATTAAAATAACTTTACATTTATATTCAAAGTAAGGGTTGTTTTTTTTTTTTTTTTTTTGTAGGTGTGTGTGTGACATTTAGAAAACGTAACCCAGCTTTATGGATAGTTTTTTATGAATTGCTATAAAATATATAGTAAAACTATGCAATATAGTTCCTAATTATGTGTTATAGTTCAGGAATTTTATTGTAGATTTAAATCACATCTTAAGCTTTGCAGGGAAATGAATAAAGTTGCATCACTTTTGAACCCTGTGCTTTGCCTGGGCCTTAATAAGTGCAGAAGCAGTGACTTTTGTTAAGTTTAATGCTAGACAGGATATGAGTGTGTAACCATGTAGGTAATGTGTGTGGGTTCATGAGTGTCACATGCATGATGATGCATATCTCATAATGATGTACTATGTATCACCATATATAACTATATGTATATATGTACTATACATATAACTGTGCTATGTGTATGCTGTGGTTACATATTATAAACATCAATACACATTTAT